CATCATCACACACACTGGCCTCCAGCTGTCGGAGCAGGACACCAGCATCCATCACTGCTGACACACACACTCTCACACACACACACACACAGCTGCAGCGCTCTTCCTCGCTGCTTTCCTTCACTGTTATTCCTCTCCTCCAGTTGTTTCATGTTATTATCTCCGTCTCTAATGGTCTGGTACGTGGTCCTGGTCTGGTACGTGGTCCTGGTCTGGTACGTGGTCCTGGTCTGGTACGTGGGTCTGGTACTCCTGGTCTGGTACGTGGTCCTGGTCTGGTACGTGGTCCTGGTCTGGTACGTGGTCCTGGTCTGGTACGTGGTCCTGGTCTGGTACGTGGTCCTGGTCTGTAGATCAGCAGTCAGACTGAGAAGAAACCTGTGTTTTCCCACGGGGGAGCCCACAGACCTGCACGATAACCATAGTAAATTGGCATCGTTTGACCTTCAGCTGCCATTTACCTCATCATTAGTTCAAACAGCAGTTCGCCCCCCTGTGCCCTGGGGCTGTAATCACACGTAACATAGACCTCAACCAACTAGAAAACCAAGACTGTCCTCCAACACCGAAGACAGAACACTGATGGTAGAACACCGACGGTGGATGACAGTGAGACAGGTCCAACTGTCTGGTTCACTAAGGGACGCTCCATGGTAAAAGTTGGACATGGACCTGTCTCCCGTCTTCTCCTGTCAACCTCCATCCACAAGTGACGTCAGTCTTCAGGGAACGTCAGAAAAGGTCTCACATTTTCACTAGTCGCCTTTTCACGAGCAGCAATTAGTTCCTGTCCTTTTCTCATCACTGCTGCACTGTTTCCTCCGAAGCCCCCAGGAGAACTAAGAGAGTGGGGGTCGGGGTGCGGAGGGACGGGGACGGGGGGGTATGTGTCACAGAACACACTATATATTTTTCTCTAGTGTGTGTGTGTGTGTTAGAGACAGTGTGACATTTAATAGACTGTTAAAACAGTTCCTTTGTGACAGTGAGAAGTTCTGGTTCTAAGATGGTTCTGCTGAACATGGATGAAGTTTGAAGTTTGAACATTTAAATACCACTGCCCCCACCCTGCAGATCATACACCGCCGTCCTCCCACGAACACCACCATCATCACTCTCCTCTTCCTCCACTTCATCTCCCGTCTCCATCCATACACTGCTCCCGGGAGACGGAGGAAGAGGAGACGGAGCGGAGACATGGACGAGCTCTCAGCATGGGGCCGTCCTAATGAAGGAACATGGAGGATGGATGAACAGAGGGAAGGAGAAGGAGAGAGGAGTGGACGCCACAGCAGGAGGTGAGAGGAGGGTGTGATGGGAGGAAGGGGTGAGTGCAGGGTGGAACCATTGATCGCTGATGAGCAGGGAGAACTTCAAAACATATTCTTCAACACTGGACTTCTCGCTCACACCATCTCCTCACCCACCCTCACATGTCATCTGCTGCCCCCGCTCCGTCCAGCACTAAATGATGCAACACACCATCAATAGTCAAAGTACGAATTCTGCACTTTTTCTTTCTACTCTTCAGCCAGTAGATGCACACAGCTATACCGTCTTTTCTCCTTCGTACAGACCGTAGAGCAGAGCTTCACACTCACCAGGAGACCCAGCGTCAGCGTTATCTACCTCCCCCAGACTCACTCTGCCAAAGACCAAAAGAAAAGTAGGAGAGGAGAGAGGGAGAGAGAAGATTAAACGTTCTCCCTCTCTCATATATATACTACGTTAAAGTCAGTCAATGAAGTACAGTCCAGAGAACGCCTCCACTACCTGGACTGGACTCTTTACCCCACCCCACCCCCGGGGGCAGCAGAGAACTTCACTTTATAACAATTTATAATAATAATTACTTTATATGAATTATTAAACTTTTTACTTCAGTTTTTTGTTTCACCAGCAACAAATCTGGAATCAGATTTTATTCATTCTTCACATAATTCCTGTCCTCTCCCAGCCCCTTCCCCCCACTTTCACACACACACACATCACATCACTTGTCACAGTCATGTTTATCAGTGTGATCCAGTAACCAACTGCTAAATGATCAAAGCTGAGTAGAAAGACCATTAGAGGGAGGTGTAGGTACCGACCATGATTGGCCCCCGAGCCAGGTTTGAACACCAAGCGAAGTGAAGGCCACTCCAACCACCAACATCAGGTTTATGATGTTCTGGTGCCTTCCATTCACAGGATGGCAGACAGCTCCTCCTACTGAGAAAAACTGGATTAAAGAAATGATCAGCCAGTTGATCCAGGCTCCTGACTGCCCCCCCCCCCCCACAGTACTTCCACTGCTCCTCCACTGTTCCTCCTGCTTCGGCCTCCTGTCATGTGTTTTTAAGGAGAGTAAAGTTAATGTCTGTCAATGCTGGTTTGATTTGAAGAGTAATTTAAGAAGAAGAGATTTCACCGGGGGTCTCGGAGGCAGACTTAGATAATCCCCCCATTCACTCACTTTAATGTTTTAAGCTTAGCTCCAGGACTCTGAAGAAAATCAATACGATTAGCTCAGTAGACCTGTGACCACGCACACACACACACACACACACACACAGAGTGAAGTATGTATCCTTGTACTGCAGATAAGCAGATTTTAAATTGCCATCTGCTTACTGCAGTAAACAAGAGAAAACAGGTAACAGCAGATTTTCTAACACACACACACACACACAGAGTGATGAACACCGTGTTCTCTGTTCTTAATTACATGTCCTTCATGCTGATAAAAGTGTGTGTGAGGAGGCAGAGACCCAGGCCCAGGATCCATCACTGACATTATCTCCTCACACATCCTGGAATTCTGGGACTGGCCAATTCCAGGGAACAGTGCACCTAATTCCATTTGATGTCTGCAGACATGCTCACACACACACCGTGCACATACTGTGTGTACTTCAGAACCTTCACATCCAGAACTGATGTCTCTTCAAAACCTGAAGCTGTTGTTCTAATTATCTGATATTTCAGGGTCGAACACACACGGTTTCACCAGCCTGCTACATCCACATAATACTGCACCAGGACTGTTGTAGCTAACGTTAGCTACGTGGTCTGTCCCAGGACTGTTGTACCTAACGTTAGCTCCCCTGCTACATCCACATAATACTGCACCAGGACTGTTGTAGCTAACGTTAGCTCCGGTGTCTGTACCAGAACATTGTCTGTCACCTAATGTCCAGGACTGTCAGGATCTTTCCCAGCATGCACGGCCCTACATTATGCTTGGTTTACTGTGATTGGACATGAGTGTGTGTTTTTTTTGTGTGTGTGTGGGTGTGACATTATTGCTGGAGGATGGTATAGGACTTAATCAGCTGTCAGGATGATGCAGGACAGGAAGCCAGAATACACACACACACACCTTGGTCAGAGTGTGTTGTGTACATATAGACAGGAAGTGTGCTGACAAATGATTGTTTCGACAGCGAATTAACAGAGACCACAGTGTGAATTAAAGTTTTCAACCTGTGGTCAAACAGAACAGTCTCCCCCCTGTGGTGTGTTTGTGTTTGACATGTTGCAGGTGTAGCGCATCTGGAGTTTGTTGTTGGTGATGTCACATGACATCCGCAGCTGTTTCTAAACAGAACTGGACTTCAGTATGTGTATGTGCACCCACCATACATACTCACTTGGAAAAACAGACCATAATTCAGTCACACTCACAGGTTCCCATTAAAGCTGGCAGTGTCTGAACAGACCTCAGAAACTGGGACATGGATCTAATCATCAGCTCAACAGTCCCACTGTACCAGTCTGCTGGTCTCCATCTGTGCCCTTTGGATCACCTCTCACACACATAAGCACACACTTGTATGCAGGAGCTTGATGATGGCTCTATGAATCAGGCCCAATCCTATCAGCAGCCCAACAAAGCTGGGTCTCAATTTGCAACCTCTGGACCGTTCCATCTGCTAAGGATTGGGTACAAGACGGGGGGGTCAGCCCTCCATCATCCTGCAGCCCTGCAGACCCGTCGCCTGCAGCTCAATTCTCCCAGGAGCCTTTCACTGTTTAATGGCAAATTTAAAAGGGATTCACAGTTTGGAGCTGTGGTAGAATACTGAGCTGTTCTAACTGGGTCCACTGACAACCCCCCCCCCCCCCCACCCCCCCCCCCGGCACACCCAGACCGGGACATGATGGTGAGGGGTTAGACCGTCTGGTGAGGTCAGATTACAGTTACATTGTTGGTAAAACTCTTACTTAAACTATACAGAGCCAGGGAACCGAACACAGCCGTGATCTGAGGGCAGGAGCCCAGAGCTCCTCTGACTTTTCTGTGGGAGATCTCGGAGATGTAAACCTGCGACGTGGACACACACGTGATGAGAATTCTATAACAAAAAGGAGTTGTTTTTTTTTGTTTTTGTTTCTGGAGCCATGATTGGACACCTACAGGAATGGATGCTGCCGTCAACCCAACAACGACACCCGTCAGGAAACGGCCCACGGAGAGCATCTCCG